CCTAAATAGAATTGCAATGGCTCTGCAAATTAAGAGAAATGATTGACAAATGGGACTACATGAAACTAAAAAGCTTCTGCACAACCAATGAAATGGTCACTAGATTTAACGAGGCAACCCACATAATGGGAGAAAATTGTTGACAGCTATACATCAGACAAGGGATTGATAACCATAATATCCAAAGAGCTCAAAAAACTAAACTCCTAAAAGATCAATGACCCAGTGAAGAAATGGACACAAATGAACTGAACAGCGCTTTTTCAAAGGAAGAAGTCCAAATGGCCAAAAAACACGTGAAGAAATGCTCAACATCCCTGGTCATAAAGGAAATGCAAATTGAAACCACATTAAAGGTTATCATTAAGAGCACAAACAACAACAATGGAAAACAGTATGCAGGCTCCTCATAAAACTAAAAATAGAACTGCCATTTTATCCAGAAATACCACTCCTAGGGATATACCTGATGGAATGTAAATCAGGTTACAATGAAGGCGCCTGCACACCCATGTTTATTGTAGCACTATTCACATGGGAAAGCTAGGGACAGTGTCAAGATGTCCCACTAGTGATGAATGAATTAAGATATTATGTTATTTATATACAATGGAATTTTATTAAGCCATAAAAAAGAATGAAATTTTGTTGCTTGCAGGTAAATGGATGGAAATGAAGAACATCACCTTAAGTGAAGTTATCCAGGATCATAAAGCCAAAGCTCACATATTTTATCTCATATGTGGAATACAGGCCCAATACAAATACAGCAATACTATGAAAAACAGGTCATGTTACAGGGAAGTCACTAACAGGAAAGGGAGGGTAAAAGAAGGAAGTTAAGAAGGTGAATATGGATTATGCACTTCCTATACAAGAATGAACATAGAATTTCTAAACCTGTTGAAATCACCATAAGAAGGAGACTAAGGTAGAAAGGAGAAAAACACAGGATGAACCAATTCGGTTGTAATACATATATACATGAAAGTGTCACAGTGAAACTCCCTGTATAGCTATCTTATGCAAACAAAAATGTCTTTTTGCAAAAATGGAGAACAGGAAGCTAACACATGTCCTGTCTGGGGGTTGGCACCAGTGGGACAGGGAGGACATAAGGAAAGGGTGGAAATGTTATGTATTCGTGTATGGAAATGGAAAAACGAGACCTGTTGAGACTATTCCAGGAATGGGGGGAGGGCAGATAAAGGAGAAAGATGGATGGGGTGAGTCTAACTATGATATACTGTAAGAACTTTGGTAAATGTCATAATGTACCCCCAATACGGCAATAATAATAATAATAAAGTTGTCTTTCTCTTTACAATGATTTCATAAATTGTCTTTTGATGAACTTTATAAGCAATGCTGTAATAAATACCTTTATATAGAGAAAAAAAAGAAAAATGACCTAAAATGTACAATTTTTTATGGCCTTATATCAGAGGCCTAAATTCAAAAAACAATGTAAAAATTATTATGCTTCTATATATGATTTTTGGACCCCCCAAAACATTAAACTATAAATTTATTAGTCTCATACTAATGTGCAGACCACATGGGCTGTAATGGAGTCAGGAACAGAATGCACCCTGATTCATGAAAATCTCCCTAAATATAGTGAACAATAGTCAGCTTCTGGTGGATATACAGAGGACAAATAAAAAGACCACGCTTATCCTGGGAGCTGAACAACTATCCTCCATAGGAGTACACTGTTAATATCTCTCCCAATAAGAAAACATACTTGGTGCTTTCTGGTGGGTATGCTTCTAGGGTACATCCTACACACTGTAATTGGAAAATTCTGCTTATGGTTATCACAGGTAAAGACAATAACACCTGACTAGGAAAATTAAAATCAATAAAAATGCCTGCCTACAAAGGGCAATTAATACTAATCAGTATAGATTGCCAGGGGTATATAAAAAATCACAGCCACTATAAAAAATTGGGTACAAAGGTCAAAAAAGCCAAATAGCATCATGGTTTTCCTCATATGCAGAATCTAGACTGAAATGATAATAACAATAACAAGGAGACATGAGTATAAAAGGGGAACTGTCTTGGGGGATCAGGAGAGAAGGAAGGGGAAAAGAGAGGATATTGGTGGGGCATGAAGAGACATGTAACATATGGATAGCATAGTGAAATCCACCAACACTGTTTGAAAAAGGGGGTAGGAGGTAGAAGGATTAAGGTAATAGATTAGAGGAGTGAACTTTTTCAAAGTACACTCTGTATGCATCTGTGGAATTAGCATAGTGAACCCCTTGTACTGTTAATGTATGCTAACAAAAGTGGCAAAAGTTGGCTAGTAAAATGAGCTACTACTTAAAACAACTAAAATATTTAAATAAAGACACCCTACATGGAAAAAAAAGAGGGTGCTTCCAAAAGCCATAAAATTGTTAAATAAGAATCCCAGTGGTAGGGGTGGCTTTATCTCGATGAGATGTTGGTCAGAGAGGCTCTTGAAGACCCCCACACCACACAGGCCATCCCTGTTGGTTGCACACCAGTTGGACATTAAGTCCTTATTGCTAAAGACACCACACATGCTTTGATTATAGAACACAAAGAAATCAAGCAGGGACTGAACTGGAAGCTTTCTCCCTACTGGTTTCCTTTCCTCCAGGGGAAAATTGTCATCAGATACTCTGCTTGGCTATAGCCCCCATGTGTTACACCACCAGCATGCCCTGCAGGTGTGTCCACTGCCACAACAGTGGCAGTACTAATGTGGGTGCACCAACCACATTGCAATTGGATCTGAAGCCTGCTTTGTGGGTGAGGCCCATGTTTGGTACTGTAAACCAGGACAGAAACTTGTAGCTAGGAAAGTCATAAGTCTCAGTAGGGAAGCCATTGATATTATTGTGTTAAATAGGATCTTATCATACTGTTTTGAACCTTGATAATCCTTTCTTTAGTCCCTTTAGCTACTGAATCCCAGGACCAGTTCACATTCGCCTGGAACCAACACCAATGGACCTTCTGAGCACTTTCCCAAAGAATACACAATCCCAAACTTGCATTGAGATGATGGCTCAGGACCTTGATTTTTAAAAAAATCATCTGGAGGATGTACAAGTACAAGTAAAGGAGTGGATAAGAGACCAATCTCCACAAGATTATTGTTTCTCAGCCACAGTTGAGGGGAACCTCTTTTTTGCAGTGGGTGTCCACCATAATGACAACCCATAATACAAATGTTAGATTTCAAAAGTTTCCCCTACAAATGATGGATGCCAGGACTTTCAGCCAATATTGCAAGATAAGCATCATTAACTACTGTTACCTCTAAAGAAGACCATCCTGTCATCTACCACCTTAGTCTCAGCCATCACCCATAATAGATAGCAAAGAAAAAGGTAGATCTGTAGGTGGGGCCAATGCCCTTGTTCAGCAGGAATTAGTTTTTGAAGAAAGAGATCTACAGCATTCTTCTCTTATGAGATTATGAAGGTTCATACTCCTCTGGGGGAGAATGAAATAGGAGTTAGGCAGGGAGTTGGAAAACCTGATGGCTGAGAGTGATGGCTTGGATGTTGATAAGGAATCACATCCTGACCTGCTGACATTAACAGAATGGCTGGTGACATACAACAGAGTCTTGCTGACTGCAGCCCCCACAGCCTGTAGAAAATGACAGCCCTGATCTAATCATTCAAAGCCAAGAACTTTCCCACCTGACACATGTAAGGAGTTGATGATATATAACCCAGTCTTGGAAGCTGATGGCTCACCCCCAGTTTTCTAGCACACTTCCATGACCCAATGGAAGCTTGAGGCCTTGTACCTCTAGCACAGTGGTCCTTCTTGAGCCTGCCTGCCAGGTGTACCTTTGCTTTGTTTTTGCTTTGCTTTGCATTAATAAACCTGCTCTTGCTTAAGTCTCCTCTTAGTCTATCGCTGAATTCTTTCTTTGAAGACTAAGGATTTTCTGGCCTCTGGCCATGGTGACTTGAACATGGCGACATACACCTATCCTCCTTCAATTCCTCTCTTCTCCTTCCAAGCCTCTACCTCTACCTGGAGTTGACTCCTTATCGACCCAGTTGGCCCCTCCCATCTTTAAGAGCTCAGTTCAGCTCCTTTGGACAAGGTGAGACAGGCCCTTCTCTGCACTCTAACCCCAGGTGTAATGACACAGACTTGTGGGGAAACTTGTGCTTGTATTCTTGCTGGACTGAGCTCCTTGAGGTTGGGCTGTGCCTGTCTTGTTCATTGTTGTGTTCTCACATTCCCATATAGTGCCTGACACATAGTGGGTCTGCAGGGAATGCTGGTTCAATGAATGGAAGACTCCTTCTCCTAAGTCTAGGAGCCCATTCTCTTCCATTTCAGCTGAGGCACAACAGCCAGGCTCTTGATTTCATACTAATGTTAAAATGAGAGAACATGGGAGGACAGTGTGGTGGTGGTGGTGGTGGTGGTGAAGGGTGGGGAGGAGATTGCAGTGAATTCCCTGAAGGTGGAAGATGGACTCCCCTGCCCTCAGGTTACCTTGAAGCCCAGATGTATGTGTGTGTAAGGGGGGTGGGGGAGGGAGTGGAGGTGGTGGCAGTAGTGATGTTGATGGTCTTTATACTAAAGGCCTCTTCGTGTGTCTTTGTCTCTCTCCTGTGGTGATTGCTGCATTGTTCCCAATCTTTGTTCATTGAGGGGATCTGTACTAGTGGGCAGTGGTTATCAAACTGTGCTGAGCCCAGAGGACTCAGTTACTCACTCCCTCACTTACTCACTCACTCATCTTTTCATCTCCTTATTTGCCAAATGGAAGGATTTAGGAAAGCAGGTCATATGATTCTATTTTCACTAAATACCAAAAAATATTCTATGTCACTCTGGCTGTGGTAGTTTCTTGCTTTTTTGTGGCTCTGCTTAGCTTTCTAGCCACCCAAAGATTCTTTCCCTTATCTCTTGACTCTAGACTAGACACAAGGGCTCAGCTGTGAACCTAAATCAGCTAGAAGGATTTTTGGGTCCACTCTTACCATCTGCTGGAGATGACCAGCTGAGGTCTCTCTTCCTCCAGGGTCCTTAGCTCCTCCTTCACCTGGCCACTCAGAAGGGCCTGGTCCAGCCTGAAAGCACAAGAGAATTCTGGTTCTCCTGGGATTTGCCACATGATCCCAAGGCCCTCAATTAGGGTCCAGGATCCAGGACTTCACCTGCTGAAGGAATTTGTTGCAATCAGGTTCCTTGGGAGTTATGCTGAAGTGAAGCTAGAGTGAAGAGGCTGAGTAGGGAGTGCTCTTTGGTCAACACCAGGACAAGGAAACAGAGGCAGTAGGACTGGTCAGAGGGAGATATTGGTTGTGAGGAGGTCTCAGTAGAGGCCTTTGCCAGGTTACTGGGAGATCTGAAGACAGGATGACCCTTTGGAACTATCCAGAGTTGGGATGAGAGGCTGGGCTAATAAGGGTGAGCACTGCATGCAGGTCATCCCAGGAAGGAGACATGACTATGGGTCAGGTGGCTCTCATTGGCAGAAGGTGTTCCTGTAGCCAGTTGCTAGCAGCATTCCCAGGCTTGGAGATGTGGTTGTTTCTGAAGGGACTGACTCTAGAAAGTTGATCCAAGGGACCTCATAGATCTTGGTTCCTGGGATTTCTTCCCAGAGTCTGAAAGGTGTGCTGAATGGAAAGAGTCCTGGTTCTATTCTCCCAGGCCTCAGGTCTTGGGTTTCTGTTAGATCTGGAAAGTTACTGCCTTCTCTGGGCTTATGTGTCCTCAGTCCCTGATCTGGGATGGATCACTCTTGCTCTGCTGCTGTGAGGCAGGACAAGGCTGAGGTGAAGTTTCCTGGCCATTGTCACAATTTCCCTGGACACAATTGCATGGGAGGGGGTGGAGCCCTGGAAGTCAAAGCTTGTCACTGTGGACCAAGCTCTGGGCTCCAGGAGGGAAGGCAGAAATCTTTCCAGTATTTCAAAGACTCAGCTCCCCTCAGACACAGCCAAAGTTTAACAGGTTACTTTTCACTCGGATCTGAATCCAGATCTGCAGGCAGAGCCCAGCTGTGTTCAGGTTCTTTCAGCATGTGGGAGACAGTGATGGCTGAAAGTGCATAGTGGGAAACAGGCAGAGGAGCAAAGTTCCCCTGAGAACAAGGCCAATTTCAGCTGCAGGAGAACCTGAGTGTAGACTTTTCTTTAGGTTCAGGAGTCAAAGCAGAAGCCTTGGGGAAAGCTTGAGTGCACAGGCTTCCTGGATCCTCTCTGCCAGGTGGGAAGAATCAGAGGGCTCTGCACAAGGAGGCCTGGAGTAGCTGCAGTTCTCTGAGCACTTGCCAGGGCTTGTCCAGAGAGCTGAAGGAAGTGTTTAGCTAGCAGCTGTCTCTGGGCTTGTGTTCAGGAGGTAGAGGAGGGAGGAGAGAGCCAAGGGATACTTGTGATGGCCACTTAGAGAAGGACACAAAGCTCCAGAGCTGCAGGATGGAGATGTTTCTGGTTTGCATGCTTAGGGCTGGGGCTCACTCCATGTCAGTCACACAGGGGCTGTCCAGCCTGTGGTGCTCGAGCACTACTGTTACTTTCCCCATACTATGCTTGCACTGCATTTCTACTTGGCCTGGTCAGTTCCTATATCTCCTTCAGGCCTCAGAGAAGCACTCCAGGAATCTTTAATTCAATTCCAATCTCTTAACACACTCTTATAACACTTTCATATGATTCATAGAACTCAACATGGCTTATGAATACACTTTCTTTTACCTGCCAAAAGGTGATCAAAGTCTGTCTCTTACCTGCAGTGTGAGGGGGAAGGGCCGAGGTGTGTTTGCTCAACATCGAATCCCTAGGGCCCGGCCCAATACTTGGCAGGGAGTCATGCCATGAAAGAATGCATGAGAAACTGTATGAGCACAGCGCTGCTCTTGAGGAAAGTGACACTGGGAGTCCTTTAGAACATAAAGCACACTACTGATTGTCATTCTAGTTTATCCAATTCTTTTCAGCATCGTCCCTGTTTTTACACATACACATTTTATCGCATTACAGTCTGCGAGGTGGGTTTGATATTCCTATTGCATAGATGAGGAAACTGAATCCCAAAGAATATAGTGTCTTATCCAAGTCACACGGAGTTAGAGTAATGGTACCACTCGTTAGGAGTCAGGCTGACTATGCATATGCTGTCCCTTTTCCTCCGCCTGTTCCATCACCTATCACCTGTCCTCTATTCCTCCCCTGCCCCCTGCCCAGAAGGGACCCACAGGGCCTTACCACAGGAGTTTGAGGCAGCAGGTGGGCTGCCTGAGCCCCCCACAGAGCAGCCTCACGCCATGGTCACCCAGGTCATTCTGCTGCAGGTCAAGCTCTGTCAGGCTGAGGCTGGCACTAAGCACAGAGGCCAGGTCCTGGCAGCAGATGGACGTAAGGCCACAGCCCACCATCCTGCAGGAGAGATGCACATGGTCATTGTCCCGAAGGGCTTGTTCCTCTGGGTAACTGCGGTCTGACCCTTTCTAATGGTTCTGGTCCTTAGGGGTCCTGGATTGACATTTAAGGAAGGAAGACAAAGGCTTTCCTGCCTTGCAATGACCTGAGAGGTTTTAATTTCCTCTTGTAGCCAAGGAGCCCCTCAGGATGCAGGAAGACTCCTTATCTCACTCCTGGTGGGACTCAACAGGAATCCTGTCCCATCTACCATGTGTCAATCTTGTATGAATAATTTACTTAATGGCCCATTCGTACACCTGGGTTTAATTATTAACCACATTGGCCCTGTGTGTCAATATTAAGGGCACCTCCAATCCAGAAGAAAAATCAGTGAGCTTCTAATATAAGAACCAAAGATGAGGGGGAGTATGACAGGTTCAATTGGAACTGAGGGGCTGTCCTAGGCTCCCTAGTAAAATTGGGGTCTGGGGTATGCTCTGTCCTAGGCCAGGGCTGTGTCTGACCCCTGCATGCTGTGCTGACAGTGCTCTCAGCCTGTCTTTTCTTATCTGAGTGGATAACAATTTGGCTCCCATAACCGAGCTGCAGGCCCAATGGATTTGAAATGGGAGCCCACTAGCCTACTGTTGCTGGTCCTGGGGCTGGTCCTGAGGTCCAGAGCATCCAGGACTGAGTTCTCTCCCTTTATGGGCAAGTAATTATAGAGAAGGGATGGAAAGTTTCACCTGGTAGTAGAAGCAAGGATGGAAGGAAAAGCTCGTTTACTCCATTCTTGTGAGCTTTCTTGTGTTCCTGTTCTACCAACTTAACTGGGGGCGACTGGAGATGCAGAAAGGACGAAGGATGCATGAACATGCATAAAGTTGGGGTGAGATGTGTTGGGCATTCGGATGGAAACACACAACAGCCTCATTGCTTTTTTACTTCTCTTCTTTTACTTTGCTTCTTTTCTCTATTCCTTAAAACCTTACTTCTTTTCTATTCTTTAAAGTCTCTTACTTAGACTTGCACTGTCCCATGGTTTCCTTAATCTCTCTTAAAGTCTTGGCCCTGAGACTTGCACTGTCCCATGTTCTCTCTTAAAGTATTGGTCCTCAGATGTACAGACACACAAATGGTCAGCAGCAGCAGCAGCAGCCAAATCAATCAATCAATCCAGCAACTAATCCATCAATCCCATCCTCCATCAATCCTTTGCATCCTCCTTCAGTCTTTTATATACAGTGGTAAACAAGGAGGTGGAGCAACAGTTCTTAGGAAGATAACCCTGTCATCCTACTTCTCTGAACATAAACATCTTAGGAAAAGCAGCTGTACTGCATTTTGCCCTTGCATTCTTCTGCAGCTGGAGCCATGCCAACTCAGCCTGCCAATTATTTGACACAGCTGTGCTTATGTCACGTTCTCATAGGCTTCTTATAATCCACTCCCCACACTCCATCTTTCCAGATAATAAAGTCCCCCTTTTCCCTTGAAATGTATGTTCCTGTCCCATGCTACATAATGGTAGCTACAGACATGCACAAGGTAGAGGCTGACACTGGAGTGTTTGGGGACAAGGCTAATTGTGGCCCTTTTAATCTTGGTAAACACTGTACCCTTGATTAGCACAATCTAGTTAGAGAGCAAAGTTAGCAATGCACATAGTCTACCCGGCAATTCTCAGAAAACAGGCTACAGATCATACACTGTGTCTCAGAATGCATGGGGTAGGATGTTAACTGCAGCTCTGATTACAGTGATAAAGCCTGGTAATAACCCAGGTGCCATAATGGGAGGTTTAAAAAAATTAAAAAAACTAAAAGTGAATTCATGTAGTGAAATTCCATGTTGTCGTCAAAAAGAATGAGGCCATTTATATGCTCTGACATGGGACCATCTCCAAGATCAATTTTCAATGATATAGGAAGGTGCAGGACAGTGTTTGCTCTACACTACCATTTATGTACCATAAGGGCTGTACACATGCTATGTAATGAATTCACATAGGCTTTCTCAGGGGAACACTGTCTGGAGTCTCAGTCTGACTTCCACTGTCTGCTTCTTTCTCAGCCTTGAACAATGTTGCCTGATAGCACTTGTTTTTTTCCCCTTACCTGCTTCAGGACAAATGTAAGTCAATTTGGTGAAATCATGCTCATCACCCTCCCTATTCCAAATGCACACTCATCTCAGACTCCCTTCTGCTTCTTTCTGCCTCACTTTTTCGATAGTCCACATCACCTACACTGTACTTAACTTTTTGTCTTTCTTCCTTCCCTTTCTTTCAGAATGTAAGCTCCATGAAGAAGAGGTTTTAGCAGGTTTTGTTACTGGCTGTTCCCTAATGCTTAGAGCAGTGCATTTCATAAGACTACAATGGATGAGTGAACAGAATAGCATCAAAAAGGGGTTAGTCAGGACCAGCTGAAGGCTGAGGAATGCTGATTGACCATGACAAGGAAGGAGGAGAAAGCGTGTGTAATGGGACGCTCACTAGGGTGAGGGTGGAGGCCGTGGACACTGCTATCTGTCAGGGCAGATGTGAAATCACGGTACGTTTTTAGTTGAATCTTGTTGACATAAAGATGGAGTGTGACAATAAAGTTAGAAAATACCAAGGCATTAATAGGTCTTGATGTCATCAGAAGATGTTTGGATCTTGTTGAAGTGGCAGTGATGAGCCCATGGAAGATCTCAAGGAAAGTGTGATGGGATCTTTGCATTCCTTTGGAAAGATCCCTGACAGCACCTGGAGGATGCTGGATGCAGTGCGCAGGAAAATTTAGGTGAAAGAATGAACACTGCTTTGGGGATATATTTCAGGAGACCTGACAGCACTCAGTGAATCCTTAGATGTGGGAACTGTGGAACTTCTAGATTGGATACAAGTTGAAACTGCTGCCACTTTCTGAGAGAACAGATATGAGAGGAGGCAGGGTTGGCTTTGTAGGCTTTCAACCAGTACATTTATTATATAGGGCCACCTACTCAAAAGGGTTTAATGCCCAGTAGCCACTACCTTGGATTTTAAAATAATTTTATGATTGAGTTGATGTTTTGGAAGCAAAGTTCGATGAGACAATGGAACCTCAGCTCATGTATGATTCCATCTTTAGTCAATCCCCTCTCTGTGTGTGCAGAAAGGATTGTAGGTCACCCACTTCCCTTTATCTTGGTATCACAGGGTTCCACTAAACCTTCTTCTCAGCCCAGTGACCACTGTTGCCTTCTGTTCTCAGTGGGATCTGGATCAACTGTAGGGAGGATTGGGTGGGGCATCCAGCACCGTGGTACATTCACTGACTGGGTAAGGGCAATCTTTCATCCGCTGCTAATTCGGATAGAGCACCACATGCACCCTGACAATATTCTGGGTGGGGGTTCCACATCTACTGTTCATTGGGGTGCTAGACCCAAGGGAGATGGGAACCAACTGCCTTGACTGTTCCTTTCTCGGAAATAGTGCCAGGGTCTTGTGACTGTTGTGAGAGGAAACCTGGCATTTGGTGGGCCACGTGCACATGTTTACTCAAGAAGAGAAACCTTAGACACTTTTTGTATCTCGTATTATGGTGTTTCTATCTCTCACTGGAATAGTAGTTAAGAGGGCAGGGGAAGGGAAGGAAATGGGTAGATGCCATTCCCTCTGCATAGTACTTTCTTCCCTCCTGCTTCACATATTCAAACCTTTTGTATTCTTTCAATCTACAAGCCATTCCCTCAAGAAGTTTTTCCACTGGATCCCTCACCTAGGTCTGTTATATGTTTGTCCATACAATTCCTTGATTAATGTCAGCTTTCTCCAAACTCTGTGAGAAAAGAGTCTTGTCTGTTTGTTATCCCTGGCATCTGTCACAGTGCATGATCAGAAAGCGATCCATGAATATATTATGAATACAGAGGCTAAGCTTCATCCTATACCCAGCTTCTGCCCAACCCTGCTTCAGGGGATAACCCAGGCCAGACTCACCGCAAAGTCTTCAGGTGGCAGCTCGGGCATCTCAGGGTCTCACAAAGACTCTGCACTGCAGGACAACTCAGTGGATTTCCACTTAGGTCCAGCTCCTTCAGGCTTCCACTGACTCTGAGAGTGGAGAAGAGAACCTGCCAAGAGGCATTGGTGACTGGAGCCCATGTAGACCTGAAGGGGTGGAGAGAGGGACAGGAGAGATATGACCCGCATGTGCAGAATCTGAGGTGCCCAGTCCTACACAATAGAGGGAGGCCCTGTCCCCCCATACACCAGGATTCTATGGGCAATGCCATTGCCAGAACTGACCAGACTCTCCACCTGCCCCTCTGGCCCCAACCCCAGGGCCCCTCCTCTGTGTGGTTCCTCATTCTACAGCCCTGCATGGCACCTTGATGGGCTCATTTTGTGTCTGCTTCTTCCTCAGTCTGGGTGTTCTTTCAAAGCAGGGGAAGAGAGTTGTTATCTTTTTTATATGCAGTGCCCAGCAAGTGCCTGGCACAGGGAAGGAGCTTGGTGATTTGGACAGCCTTCGTGCCTCCCATGCAAACACACTTGTCTACCTTTGGCACAGAGTTCTAGAGCCAGAAAGAAAGGAGGAGATGGAAGGTGGGAACTGAAACCATTAGAGGGATTTGAGGATGACTCTGATGAAGTACTGGGGTCTGCTGTCCATGTCGTTTCTCATAGGCCCTATCCCCTTCCAGGATAGCAAGACCACAGAGATGGTCCACAGGAGAGGGATGGCAAAGTGGGAGGCCCAGGAGAGAATGTCTGGAGCTTGCATGGGAGAAGATGATGGGCTTTCTGGGAGTATTAGAGCAGACTCTGCTTTGGGTGACTGCAGCCCATTCAGTGTTTCCATTTTCACACTATGTTATGGTCTCATCTGGTTCCAGGCCTCAATTACTCTAGCTCTATTCCAAGTTTGAGACTCATATTTCTATTTTCTTGTCACATATTACTACTTCATCATCTCAGTAACTTTTTGACCTATTGTGTCCTGATATGTCCCCAGTATTCATTCATCTTTAACCCCAAGTCTGCTTAGCTGTGCAGTGGTGTGAAGACAAGGCTCTGGAGCCAGTGGCTTGCATGCGAGGCCTTCTTCTTGGGCCTCAGTCTACCTCCTCATCTGCAAAAATAGAACAGCAATAGTACCTGATGCAGCAGAGGGTTTGTGAGAATCACAAGATCTCACAGTTTCTCCAAAGTCTTAGTGCTGTTCAAACTGGTCTCTGCCCTTTGCCTGCTCAGGACTCTGCTGAAGGCCCCAGGTCAGGTTACTGCTACTTGCAACACCTGTATCATGCCCTTCAAGGCCAAGTCATATTTATCACCATGAACAAGTAGACACAACCTAACATGTCCAAGAACAGGGAAATGGTGAAATCATCCAGGGAATTCTCCCCAGGGAATATCATATGGAATATCATATGTTTATCACACTTATTAGTAACATGAAAAGAAGGTTTGATATATGAAAAGAATAAAGCTGACTACAAGACAATGTGGAGTATGGCTGAATTTTCCCTTAAAAAGTACATGGAAAGAAGATTAGAAGCATATACCCTAATTGTTCGTGATAGAATTCTGGTTGGCATTACTTTCATGTTTGTGCTTCTTTTTTTGTAAAGGAACATGGGTTTTATCAGGAGTTAAAGGTTTTAAAAATATGAAAATAGAAGACTCAAATAAATAAAACATTTTTACATCTGAGGGTCTCTCCTTCTCTGGTCCACATGGACACTCGCTTCCTTAAGCCACTGTGGCACCTTGTCTGTATCTCTACTATTGCAGGTGTCACACTGGAATGAAATTACTGAGTGGATGTCTATCTTCTTCCCTGGGTTTTGACTCCTTAGAGCAGGGGTTGTGCTTTTTGACTTGTGATTGGTAAGAGCTGGCATAACTCAGGGCTTAGTGAACATTTGTGGTGTGATTAATTTAAGGAGGAGACAGACACTGATACTGAGAGGTCAGTCCTGCCACGGGGCAGGGAACCTGGGAGTCGGGGTTCTCAGTGATGGTGGGTGCAATGTAGTTAAGAGAGCCACTCGTTCATGCTCAGAGGTGTTTCAGGGTGAGAGCCTGGGGCAATAGTGGCATCATTGACTGGTATAAGGAAGTCAGCTCTGCAGGGAAATATAAAGGACTTTCTCTCAGACACATGGACTTTTAAGTGATGGGGGAAGATGCTGGGGTCAAGGTCATTGTCATCGGGTAGCGTTGCCTGAAGCAGTTGAGTGAAAAATTTCTCAGAGGGAAAGCATATCAAGAGAAAGGAGCAGAGCCAGGTGAGCTGCATAAAATTTGGGATGGGTTGGCCAATGTGAAGGTCAGTGTGAAGGTGGAAAAGTGTCCAGTAGAGAAAGTAGGTGGTGGTCTCAGAGCTAGGAGGGAAGGCAGCCCACAAGGCAGGGCCTGTCCCATGCCTCTACAAAGCATGCAGTGGACAAAGGATGGCTGTCATCTTGGGCAATTAGAAGTCACTGGTGAGCTCCATCTTGTAGCCATGGACCAGTCTGAGAGTGTCGCCAGTGATCAGAACATGTGGGCCTATGGGACCCACAGAAGAGATGGAGTTAGGGAAGGGCTGGGATACTCACAGAACTACCCCAGGGGTAGCAGCTTGTCCCTGCTGTTCACCCTTATTCAGTTGAAGCCTCTTCACATGGCTGCAGAATTTAATGCAGAAAGTGACCACCAGGAGCTCCACGTCTGTCTGGACAAATATCTTTGTTCCTTGGAAATGCACCATAGCCTTGGCCACAAACTCCTCATCTTGAATCTCATACAGGCAGTGGAACCACTCCAGAGAATATGGCAGCCGGAGCAAAGCTTTTACCAGTACCCACCGTAGCAGCTCTGATGTCCTCTTTGGAAGCAGCTGGCAGGTGAAGATGTTACCCATACTGCTCATCCCCTGCTCACTTAAAAGTCCAAATAGGAAGCGTGTGGTTAGTGTTCCAAGCAGGTCATGCCTCCCATATTTCATTAGAATCTTTTCCACACCTCTGAGGTGATCAGAATGTTCACTTTTCTCCTTTTCATCCCCTAAGGTATAAGACATTGCTGCAAAGAACTCCTGGAAACAGGAGTGAATAAAGCTGTAACTATAAGAGCTGGAGTGCTTTTGAAGAATGCCCATCTTCAAGAAAGTGGCCAAGATGGCTGTGTTTAACCTGTGCTTCCTGAGGTCACCTACTCTGAACAGTGTCTTTCTTCTCAGTATGCCCTCTGCAGCCAGAGAGCAGATACCCCTTAGCTGGGTCCCCAGAGGCTTAGCTGGGAGAGCTTGCGCAAAGTAGTGCAGACAGAGGGCCGTGGTGGTCTGAAAGGTAGGCGGGAGCTCTTGTCCCTGCTCCATCTGCTGCTTCAGACAAGCACAGATCAGCCAGGACACCCAGGGCACGAGACCCAGGGTCAAGAGTGCTGGGTTTGATTCAACCAAGCTAAAGGCTCTACTTGCTTGGCCTTCCTCTGGGAAATATTTGTAGAAATATTCCTTCCTGCTGGACTCAGAGAAGCCCAGGACTTCTACCCAACGTGGCTTCTTCAAAGGAATGAACTTTTTCAGTGCTGTGGTCCGAGCTATGATCATAAGTGAAGCCTCAGGGAGCAAGGATTTCCACAGTAAACTGCCCAACAGTGTGTGCACTGGCTGTGGCTGGCTCCAGTGCAGACAGAACTCAGACGTCTCCTTCAAGACGCATTTTAACTCATCCACATCATCCAGGATGAAGAGCAGCTGCTTGGACTGAGACAGGATCTGGCCAATGGGAGCTTCAGGGGCTGCCCAGTCTTTTGCAATGAGCTCAGCCAGACTCAACACCCCACACTGATCCAGCTCCCTGCAGCTGAAGTAGAAGACATGCTGGAAGTGGTCCCTGTACAGCAGGCCTTCCTCCCAGGCTCCCCTCACCTGCCTGGCCAGTGTTGACTTCCCAATTCCAGCAGTCCCATGCAGTACAACTATCTGAGTTTCTTCCTGGGTACCAGGGCTGGAGTCAAACATGTCTTGGATCTCAATCAAGTGTCCTCGCTCTTGCACTTCATCCTGATGGCAGCTTTTCCGGATCTGGGGCTCCGGGCCTCTGGGAAGAGGTTTTTGTAGGAGTAGCAACTGTGTGAATTTTTGTTGCAAATACTCATTTTTCCAGGACTGTGTGGGGCAGGTCTTCTCTGTCTTCTGATTCTTGGATTTTTCTCTAAGTCCTAGTATGGGGGTTAAAGATGGAACATAAAGTTATAGAATAGAATTGTTATTTATTCAATAAACAGCCACATGAATTTAGGCTCCTACTCTAAGCACACACTGCACTGGCTGCAGTCAGTGTTGTGTTCTGTCCAGTGCAGAGTGGAGGGAAAATGGGCTTTGGAGTAGAAGATTGTAGTTCAAGTCCTGACTTGGCCAAACCATACTTCCTGTTTGACTTTCATTCATTCTTCACATATTCGGCTTTCTATGTGCCAGGCACTGCTCCAGGGACTCAATGTAAAGAGTGAACAGACAGGCACAACTCTTGCCCTTATGAAGACCATGGTGTGGGTCCTTATTTCCAGTGAGCCTCAGTTTCTTCATTATATGCTATTGTGATGTCTCACTGTATGAGGTCATGAGGGAGTGGAGGAGAACTTGGATAGAAGAGTAGATGCTGTTGGCACCTGACAACATCCCTCTAGGCCCCAGGCCCCACCATTGCCAGACCTACAAAGAGTGCCCTTCTAAGATTGTGTATGAGGGCTTTCTCCTGACTCACAGTGGGGCAAGCCAGTAATGCTGGGGAGTTATGCTCCAGGGAAAGCCCCCACCAACAGGTAACCCCAGGACAGGTAACTCTGAGGTTTGCTCTACATGGTCTTCCAGATGTCCTCAGCAGCACTGACCTTCAGTTGCTGCTATGGTTTGGATACCATTTGTCTTCACTCCAAATTCATGTTGAGATTTGGTTGCCAGTGTAGCAGTGTTGGGAGGTGGGGTCTAGTGGGAGATGTTTTGGGTTATGATACTGAACCCCTCTTGAATGGATTAGTGTTTTTCTTGTGGGACTGAGCCCCCTTACTCTCTTATGCAGACAGCTGCCTACCCTTTCACTTTTTTCCACTATGTCTAGAGCATCATGAGTTTCTCATCTGAAGCTAAGCAGATCATATCCTAATCTCTAAATACCATCTCAGGGAAGTGACACACTGTGCCCAGGGCCTGATTTGCTTCGAGGGAACCAAAACTGTGACAGACAGAAAGACGCCTTGTGACTGGTGAGGAGCTGAACTCATGTAAAGAACTATCACCAAGGAGGAACCTCAGGTTCCTATTTGAGTGAAGTTCCAGATGGAGCAATCCTTATAACTTCTCCATAATTTCCCTTCCCAATATTTTGAAAGAAGTGGGAACTTCTCCCTTTAGGTGAGCTTTAGAGATGATGCAGATGACTCATCTGGGATGATGAAGCCTAGTCTATCTCAGGATACCTGCTGGGGAAATCCAGAGTTCAAGGTTACCATTTGCCCTATCTTTGCAGGTGTGTTGAAGTAAATCTGTGGAAAGTGGGAGATGTGGGACAATTCACATCTTTAGCACTTCGAGACTGTGGTTTTGGAGGGCCAGCTTACCTCAGACATCACATCTATACTCTGCCTTCATTGTCTCAGGTGGGAAGATTTCTGGCAATCTGAATGTCTTCTAAGTGCATCACGATGGCCACCCAGGGCCACAGTCAAAGGTAGATTGCAAGGGGGGGCTGAGTTCTGGTGCCACATTCTCTAAAACCTCCTTGTTTTATAGATGGGTGACCAGGCACTTGTCTCAATCCTCTTGAATCAATAATACTTTAACAATTCTTTTTAAAATTAAATTATACTTAAAAATTCCTTACTCATAGTAACTCTAATGAATTTATTGGTATACTGCTGTCCAGGGGTTGGCAATGTCTCACTAAAGCCACAAAGCACAGGTGGCTGGATGAACTTGCCTTGCACACCCCAGTTAGTCACGTGTTTTTGTACAAACTGCCAACTGAGAATGGCTAGTGCACGTATAAATGATTGAAAACATTCAAAAGAAGAATTTGGTAGAGAGAGTTTGATAAACTACTTGGAATTCCCTGTTTTAAGTAACAGTAAACTGTATGTGGCATTTTAGGGCGGTTGAATGTCTTTACTGCCAGGCACGGTTTTGCTAGGCACTGAAAGTTGGGCCATACAAGGTGGGGGCAGAGCTCTGTGTCATAGAGGAGAAGAGATGGTGAGGCTGGGTACTGCAGGAGTTGGGTAAGAGAGAGAAGAATACTGGTGGGTGCATAAGACAGATGTGAGCATCTTATCACTTCCTACACTGTCGTCTTCAGTAGAGTTTCCACTTAGAACTTTGTGCAAGTGGATATTTTGTGTGGAGCTTGAAGAGGTGTGAATTCTGTACTGTATAGTGGAGGTGGCATGTCAAGTGAAAGATCAGTAGGATGGAGGCTCAGATGAGGAAAATGAGGTGCAAAAGGGTGGTATGACTTGTCCCACATCCCACAGCAAGGGGCTGAAGTCAGAACGAAACCGAGGAAAGTGGAGTTTGGGCCCTATACCACTTCTCCCAGGGCATGGGGTTGAGTGAGGTAAGAGTGGGCATAGAAGACAGAGAAAAGGGAAGAAGAGGCAGGCAGGTCTTTGACAAAGTTATGACAAAGCTGTGGCAGAGTGGAAGAGGAAATCACTGCCCCAGGCATGGATTGTTCTAGATTCTAGTCCTGGCAGTGCCTCTTTTAAGTGCTGTGAGCTTGGACACATGAGCTACTCTCTCTAACTAACCCTTCTGCGCTGGGAAGTGGTGGCCACCTTAATGCTGGGATGGGAAGAGAGAGAGGCAAAGGTCTAGCTGAGGCTTGTAGTCTGAGTGAGACTAACATAAGAGAAAAAAGACAGGGAAGTGGCAATGTTAAGGGATGTGCCCAGCTTCTTCTTCATGGATCTGTATGGAGAACAGAGTCCTCCCTATAACTTGTGGACCACCCTGACCCAGGGATCTTCAGTGCCCTCCAAGAGGAGTGCTTCCTGAGCTCCAGTTAAGTATGACTCACTGCCCACCCATGTGGCTCTCAGTTTCCCCATCTGACAATTAGGGAAGAGAGTAACCTTAACACTGAAAAGTCTCTGAAAGATAACTTCTAGCCCCATTATTCTCACCATTGCCACCCCACACTGGCTCCTCCATCCTTCCTCTGCAGTCCTCATCACAGGTGCCTATGCAGGGGACCAGCAACTGCCCCATCTCCCTTGACGGGACCAGCAACTTCCCCATCTTGTGACAGAGTTGCTACCCCAGCCCAACTCAGCAAATCTCACCTATCCAACTCTGTGCAGACATATCAGTCAGAATGTTCAAAATCCTTGTGTTTGAGTCCTGGAAGCACTGCACTTTTCTGGGGGTGGGCCTTCTGTGGGACTCCATGAAGAATGAGGGAGACAGGCCTATCGGAAGGAAACAGAGAAGTTAGAGGGATGTAGAAGAGCAGTGACAGGAGCCAGGGTACTGACACTGGGTTTATTCATATTATGCAGGTGTCCTGTCTCAACGGAGAGAGATGACACCATGAACCCACTGTAGCCTCAGCAACTACCCCCAAGCCTCATCCAGAAAGTGTTGCTTTTACAGGTGCTACTAGGCAATTGCGCTAACCTGGGTTCTGTGACATCAAATACCTTTCCTGGTTATTTTTCAATGTAAGTTACTATTTGTCTCTGTGCCATATGGGACTACTGCAAACAGTAATAATAATAACAAAAGCAAGAGCTCATATTTATTGAGCATTCACAGTATATTTGACTGATAAATGTTTAACATGGATTATCTTTTTAATCCCATAGAGCTGAAGGAGTCAGACTTTTACTTTCCCATTTTACAGATGGAGGAACAGAGGCAGAGAGTGGTGAAATGACTTGTCCAAGGTGGCAGTGCCAGGACTAAGACTTGCCTCTGCCCAGCTCCCAAGTCTGTGCTCATAAGTTCAGTGCTGGCAAGTGCTCTTCTTGGGAGCTAGAGTTGAACCAATGACTATCATTGTGTGGGCCCTTGTGACTGGCAGTCTCTCCACTCTCCAGCCCCAGAGTATTCCCTTCCTGAAGCCCCTCAGATGGGGGCCTAGGTATGCACTTGAATAGAAGCAGGTGTGGAGTTCTGGGGTCCAGCAAGGGCCTCCAGCCAACCTTCAGCTCAACCTTATATAGAGCAGTCAAGTCACCTGAGGAGCCCCTGACATGATGGCTCAATGGTGAAAAATGGTAATATTTTATTCCATTAAAATTATATGAATTTCAAAATTTAGTGTCCATAAACACAATGTCATTGGGACACACCCACCTTCATTTAATAGTTATTATGGATGACTGCTTTTAGCTTGTGAAGGCAGAGCTGAGAACTTGCAACAGTGACATACAAAGCCTAAAATATTGACTACCTTGTCCTTTACACAAATATCCTACCATTACTCTTGATATATCAAAAACATGCCATGTGGTATTTTTACTTGCTATGAGATTGTTGTTGGAGATATTATTTTGTGTTAGTGCCCAATTGGAGAATTCCCTTAGAATTTGGAACTGGGAAAAATGCATTTTTCTGAATTGGTCTTTTCTTTCCTATGGTAATAGTTATTAATGAACCCATTACATTTCCTCCTTTTTCCTGCCTGCTAGGACTCTCAGAAGGAAGAGGACCTTTAATTAGAGCAACTAATCTGTCCTCACAGCTTTCATACTTGCTTTTTTCCATTTTTATGGCTATTGCATTCTAGTATACTGCATTTGTATGTTTCTGTGAGATGTCTCTAGTCCTCCTTCCTCCTTCCCCACACTCCTCCCTCCCTCCCTTCATTCCTTCCTTCATTCCTTCCTTTCTATTATGAATGGGACATTCTATGTCCAAGTCAGTTTATACACGTTAAGCTTGTGCCAAATTTTAGTACCATGAATTCTGTAAGTTTACTCTAAAATCTATGTAGAAAGAATCCTTTATAATAGAGACACTATACTTTGTGTTAAGACCACGGGACTCACAGTCTGTGTGCCTGTGGCTTCAGCATGTCTGTCCGCATTGCCCAGTTGTCATAGGGCATAGAATGTAGGGATTAAAGATGTGGATTGTGGAGATGGGGAGAGAGACTGTTGATTTCCAGCTCTGCCACTACTTTACCTTTCAGAGCTTCAGTTTTCTCATCTCTATGGAGGGACAAAAACAGTCTCCATCACAAGGCATGGTTGTGAAATCTAAGTAGAATGTGCAAGTGAAATGCTGGGCATAGGACCTGGCCTGGAGTGGGGTGTCCAGCAAACATTTGCTGGTACATGGCTTACTCTAGGCCATTTGGGGAGGTGGTGGTAAGGGGCTCTATGGAAATGGAATCCAGTTGTCTTGACCTCTTTCCTGTGCCCTGCCCAGGCACAGATGGTGTGATTCCTGTGCTGGAGAATACACCTTCATTTTAACTCCCAGGGGCTTCTTGGAAGCAGTGCCTTGGCCTAATGGCAAGTCTCCAATGGCAGGATTTCTAGAGAGCTGCTTCAGAGGTTTTTCAGATCCTCTGTGCTTATTCTGCCATCCTAGCCCCAGGGGACTGACTCCCCTGGGGTGTATGCTTGTCTGCCCACCACTTGAGCTTCTAGTGCCTCATTTGCATGGTGGGTTCCAGAAGTTTCAGCCAGATACCCTATAGTCCCTGCAGCTTTCTGATTGCTTTGCTTAGGTCTGGTCTCTCTGAGTGCCTTTGAAAGTGTGATTTTCCACGGTAGCAATGAATCATTAAGCCTACCCCTCTGCACTCTTCCAGACGTCACTAGTTCCTGGATGACTCCTGGGCTCGAGCCGCATTGTCTGGCGACCTTGGAAGAGCTCGATGAAGAAGCAAGGAGGTGTTTTCTGGGGGGCGGGGAAGACAGGAAGAAAATGACTGGTTACTGATTATCCATTCTATGTCAGATACACACTTTTTCAACATTGTTAGTCAGTGTCTGTCACTGTGACAAATACCTGAGAGAAATAACTTTGAAAAAAGGGAAGATTTATTTTGCAGTTGGTTGCAATCAAAGTTTGGCTGGTTCCATCACTTTTTGGGCCTGAAGTGAATCATATGATGGCAGCTGGAACATGTGGCAGAGGAGATTCTGTCCTCATGGCACCCAGGAAGAAGTGAGGAAGAGAAAGATACGTCTTTCAAAGGCAGGTCCCTGGTGACCTACTTTATCCACCCATGCCCTGCTTCTAGTTTCTACCTCCTCCCAAATATTTCACCAAATTATGAATCCATCAATGAATGAATTCATTGATTAGGGTACAGCCCTTATGATCCAATCGCCTCTCATGGATTGGATCCTTTAGCTGGGGATGAAGCCTTCAATACAGGAGCCTATTGGGGAACATTTCCTATCCAAACCGTAACAAACTCTCACAACAATTCTGTGAGATGGGTATGAATCATGCTTTGTCAAGGTAGATAACCAACTTTTCTTAATGTATAGTCTGCAGCTTCTTGGGGAGAGTAGAGTAAATGGACTTTGATTAGCCATGTTCACTCTAAGTTCCTTATTTCAAGCAACAATAAAGAGTTTTATGTGGCATTCTAGAAAAGGTGGGTCATTTTTATTACCAGGCAGAGTTTTGCCAGGCAATAACTGCAATTTGAGCCGTGCAAGTTGTGGGCAGAAAGAATAGCTGGTAAAGCTGAGTAAAGCAGAGGAAGGGGAAGAGAAAAAGAATGTCGGTTGGAGCCTAAGATGGAACTTTGCTGGGAGGAAGATGTGAGCAGTGTTACACCTCTTAAGATATCTAGAGTCTTCACTCAGATCTTTGAGCAGGTGGATTTTGTGTGTGGAGTTGAGGACATGCAAATTCTGCAGTGTAGAGTAGAGAATGCATGTGGAGTCAAAACCCAGTAATAGGAAGGCCTCAGGTGGGGAAAATGAGATACATAGTGGTGGAACAATCCTTTCCACATCACACGGCAAGTGCCTGAAGTCAGAATGAAATCTGAGGGCAGTGGAGATTGAGCCTGTAGTCACCATTGCCAGGGCTTGGGGGTGGGGTGGGATAAGAGTGGGCACAGAAGAAAGAAAAAAGGGAAGGAGGGGATGGTGGGACTTTGAGAAGCAGTGGCAGGGTGGAGGAAGAAATCATTGCCCTAGACATGAATTGTTCTAGACTCTAGTCCCTGTGCTGTCTCTAAGTGCTGTGAGCTTGGACACATAAGCTTCTCTCTAGCCCTTCTGCACTGTTAAGTGGAGGCCACCTTAGTGCTGGGATGGGAAGAGGAAAAGTCAAGGGTGTAGTTGAAGTGTATAGTCTGTGTGAATAAGATTAACATGAAAGAAGTTAGGACAGGGAGCTGAGGGATGTGACTCATTGCCTGACCCACAAGGGTCTCAGTTTACCCATCTGTCAAGTGATGATGGGAACAAGACCAGCACTGGAAGTTCAGGTGGACCAACTGGCACACTCCCTGTTGGGTGTGCTTGAGATCCTTACCTTGGAAGGAGAGTGGGCTATGGGAAAAAGATAGAGAGAGGGTGGAGGCTTGTAGAGGGCTAGGGCAGGAGCCAGGAGACTGAGGCTGGGATTTTTCATATTAGACAGGTCCCCTGTCTCAGCCAAGAATGGTCAGGAGAAACCCATGAATCTGCTTCCGCCTCCTCACATTCCCCCACAGGCTCATTCAGAGAATGATGCTCTCATAGACTGCACTGGCAAATAGTCTGGTCTGGGGTCCAGGAAATTCATGTACCTGGTATAGTCTGTGCCACACCTCTATGTAATTACTACTCCTCTCAGAGCTTCATACTCACACCCACCCTTATCAGCACTCTTCTGAACATCAGCCTCTCCCTTCTGCAGTCCCCTCCCAGGTGCTATGGGGACCACATGGGGGCCTGAGAATACACTTGAGGGGATACACGTTGTTGGAATCCAACAATGCCCCCTAATACAAGGCAGTCCCGTTCACCACCTGAAGAGGGCCTGGCAGGTGTTGGGGTGATGTTGGGGTGTAGATAGGGGTGGGCTGGGGACTTTGTCTACTCACTTAACATCACTGGTGCTTCTGCTTGGGGCTGGGTACACACCAACCTCAGGACAACCTGCTTCCAGGTTTGCAAAGGCAAGTCTTGGGCCCTGAAATTCCAATTTGAGGTTACTTCCATCCCACTCGACTTCTCTGGCTGAGCTGCCATCGCACAAGGAGAGCTCTTGAAGGGTGCTTTGTCGGGCAGATGAAGCTGGAACTCCTTCATCTCCTTCTTCAGTAGATTCATGTAATAGGTCAGGCAAATGCTGGGCTCCACTGACCATCTCTGCCTCCAGAAGAAGTTCCTTCAGATGTGCATAGGTATTAGGTGATAAGAGCATGAGAAAGGCAGAGGATAGTTGTCTCCCTATGCCTTGCCCCCTGCTATCTTCCAATGAAAGACTCTGACTGGGATCATTTTTTCTTTGCCTGGTACATACTCCTATTCAGCACTCAGAACCCAGTTTTATTAGCCCCAAGGCAACTGCCAATAGATGGTGTTGGGAGGAGGGAAAGAAGGGGAATTGTAGGAAGAACCATAGGAGGGAGGAGTGTTGAGGAGACTGGGAGTTCCTGGAAGAGGTCAGATCATAATTGTGGTGATGTTCAGGACCTGTCAAGTATGGTGATGTTGAAGTGGGAGTGGGAGGATGAGGAGATGCGAGAATGAGAGGACCATAGTCTGGGAAGATGGTAGGATGGCAGGATGGGGGATGGGGTATCAGTGGCACTCACTTTTCTGTGTTCCGCAGATCCTCCCCTCTCCATGGACACAGATTCCTGGCATCAACCCTTGAGCAGCAGCACTGACAGGAAGTGAGTTCGGGGAGACACAGTGAAGGGGGTTTGGCTCAGAGTCAGGACTGAGCTCAGGATTTTTCCTAACTTACCTAGACCTGGGAACAACTCAGAGGTAAGGAAACAGGAAGTACAAGTCACCCAGGGGAAATCCATGAGGCATGTGATCAGGAGAGGGGAGGAGCCAGGACAAGGCTGTGATGCAGGAAGTTCAGACACACACAGCACACAGGTGCACACAGCTCCCTGCCAGCCAATACCCAGATCCTTCAGATCCAGGGTACAACTCCCTAGGTAGGGACTTAGCCCAGGCCTGGCTCTCAGGATGGGAGTGGGGGCCCTGTGTTTGCCAGGACAGCTCTTTAGTGGAAAGCATTAGAGCATTAGAGCAGGACAGGGACCATTTTTCAAAGTGTCCCATAGGTTGGAGACTAAACCATTGCTCATCCTGCTAGGCTACATGGGCCACTGGTGGTATATGTGTCCTGGGCCCCATGGCTGTGTGCATGGCCCAGCACTTGGGGTTTTGGGTCACCATGCTTATTGAAAGTGAAACATCACCTGCTTCTTCACCACAAAGGTAGTCAGCAGGGAGCCCAGCATTGACGCTCTTCCTTTTTTGAAGAATTAGCAGCATTCCAGACTGGAGTTTGAAAAAGGGCATTACCCAACTCATCTGCTGTTGTGAAATCCCACTGGGAGTTTCTGATGATGCCTTGATTTGTTCTGGGTGGGGGATCCCAAGCTTGAGGAGCAACACCCCACAGCCCATGACTCCTTATGTGGTGGATTCATTTCTGTGAGCCTCCATTTGCTCATCTATTAAAGAAGATATCATAGTTTTGTCAATATGCTACAATTCAACAAAAACTTTTGAACATCTTTGATCTGAGCTCTTGGTCACACCACATCCTTTCCTTCCCTCCTGTCTGCCCTGCTCATGGGCCCTTCATTTCCGTGGATGATTGCTGGGGCCCCAAACACTGGGTGTTCTTTGACTCCTGTCCTTCTCTTACACTAGGTAAGGCAGCCTTTACTGCTCTTCAATAAAGGGTCTGTGGTTTTACCAGTGTGGCCAGGTGCCTGTGCATAAACCTTTTTGATGTCTCTTTCTATCAGTCCTGAGTTGCTAACATAGGTATAGCAAGTTTTATTAATGATGGCATAAAATCTGTTCTACTCAGATAATAGATAATCAGTCTATTGTCTAAAATTACCCCTACCAGGTAATCTAAAGACTGCTGAAAGTTTTATAATGTTTGCCTGTGCCAATGGCCATTTCCTCCAAAGCCAAGATAAAGATTTCTGGATGGTGTCCTGATGGGTGAATCTTCCCAAGGGAGCAAGGGGTGTCAATGTTCCTATAGCTTTTTAAATAACCCATTCCATAGCACACTAATTTTGGGCTGAGACAGATGATTCTAGTCTTGGAGCCATGTTTTCTTTCTTTTTTTTTCTTCAGTACTAGGGGTTGAACTCTGGGCCTTGTACTTGTTAGGCAAGAGCTGTACCACTTGAGCCATTCTGCCAGTCTTTTTTTCTTTGGGTATTTATGTTTTTTTGAAGTTTTTTAGAATCTAGCAATCCTTGTGAAAAAATCTGCACAATCGCTACAGATAAAGTCACTGTAGAGGCTTTATTTCTTTGACTTTCTGCCAGCACCAACGTCTTTGTTGTCTCCCTTACTTTATTCATTCTATATTTGTATTCCTTTCTCTATGTCATTGAGGTCTTTTTCTTCTCAAGTAGACCATGTCTTGCAAGTCTGTCTTTATTTTACTTTGCATAATCCAAGGAATCATAAATCAAGCCCAACCCAGTTGTCTTTCCACCACCAAAATGGGTCCTGAATCCATATACAAAACTGACATCCAGTGTGGCCTTGTACATTTTGTCTATTTTTTTGTGTATTTCTGTTTTAGGTACTGTTGCCTTCTCAGGATGAACTATACCAGTGATCATTTGCTTCCTGAAGTAGTCCACTGGTTATGAACTTCCTGGTCTGGATAGTTACTGTGTCATTCCTGATGGTGGCTGATTCTCAAGCAACCAGGTAGAAAAAGTGCTTTGGATATTTTTGAGATAGGGTCTCCTCTATCTAGTGTTAAGATCAGCTGAGGTGCTTCAGGCGTTACTTTTAGAGCCCTTCAGGGGTTACTTTTAGAGCCCTTCAGTTGAGATGCTTCAGGGTTTACTTTTAGAGCTTCTTCAGTTTCTTTTCCTTCTAGCAGTTGTGGTATCGGCAGGAATGGGTCAGTATCTATCTCACTGACCCATGTAGTGCACTACATGGGTCACTGAGGACATTCCCCTCCCTAAAGATCCTTCTCTGCAGAATGTGCACAGATTAGAACTCTGCCTTTGGGGTCTCCACAACCTCCCCGATGAGGAGGAACAACGGGTGACTTACTGGAATTGCTGGGCCCTATTGGAGACATCTGTTTGACCCTTGGATCTTGGCTAATGGTGGAGGGCAAGGGACAAAATATTGGCCATCTTCTTAGCTCTTTTATCCTCACTGGTTTTTCCTTCAAATCTCAGTGGTTCAGCACTCATGAAGTGGGAGTGTGGGAGTAGTGGGCTTCAATTTTAACTTTCTTAAATTTTTTGAGGAGTACGTTTGAGATATACAAAGAGACTGGAAGACAGCTGCCTCTTTAGTCAGTTCCATTTCTTTTAATACCATTTGGTCTAAACTATTGTATAGTCTCTTTTTATTGTGAGAATACAGTAGTCCTTAGAACAAAAATTTACCTTTTGGTCAAATTTTTTTCTTAATAAAAAATAAAACAAAAATCTTATATTTTCAGGAAGATCCAGGAAAAAATTGACTGTTTTTCTATGTACCAACAATTTATGAAAACATATTGAATAGACCCAAATATTTTGTATCCTTATAGCCTTTAAAAAACCAAGAATACCTGAATTTATATTTGGTAACTGATGTTTTCGATCCCAGTTTACTTACAAATGACTCAGATGTTCTGCCTCTAATATATAACCATGTAGCCACCTGCTTCAATAGTTACCCAATTTATTTAACAGTCATTTTTGATTACCCATGAGGACCAAGCATAAGCTTATCAATAAGTATAGTTAACATTATAAGTCATTTCTTTTGTCAATGAAAATCTCCAAAATTAGCTATACCTGAAACATAGAAAGCAATAGAAATCATATCTTAAACATCTAACAGTTTTAAGCTTAGACAAGCAGAATAGAAGAACTTTGGAAACATTTTTTATTTTACCTTTTGAACAAATTTAAATTAATTTGTCAAAGAGTTCCTTAAGTCCTATGAATGTAAAGGAATTTGAGCAAGTTTCATAAGAGATAAAGTCAATTCAAATAGTCCTTAGTGTCCTTTATTATGTAAACTTGCCATGTAATATATACCCAATGGTAGCACACAAAAGCACATATACTTATAAACAATGTCATATAGTCTGTATGTTAAAATTCCAGTCATGGAGCAAAGTAGTAAAGCAAAACAAATTTGCCAACTTTTTTTTTTACCATATGGCTACAATTTAAAGGGAAAAAAAGCTGCATAAATTTAAGCACATCAGTAAAGTCCAATGTTAAAGTCACATCCCTTCTATGGGCTGTGATTAGGAATATGCTTTACCAAAGTAAAACTTAGTACAAACGCTGAACATTTGGTTCAAAAGACCTTTACAGTAGCATCTGTCCTCAAAGGCATTCCAGTTTGAGACTCAATTTTAGAATAAGGTGTAGCAAGTGTTAATAAAAGACACACAAGGGGATGAAAGAGAGATTCTACAATTTCCCACATACTCTGAACCTGATAAAACAAATCTAGAATGATTATTTTTCTTTAAACAATTGTTGAGACTGGAATCAAAGATAAACAGAAGGTATAACAGTTTGCTCTGGTTTTTGTTATTTAAGTTTGGGGATTTCTTTGCTTGTTTTCTTTTTCTTTCTTTCATCTTTTTCTTCTTTTATTTTTTTATAAATACAAATGAAACATGAAAAAAAAAACTATTTCAAAAATATAACAGGGAGATCCAAGATGGCAACTAGAGGGAGGAAGCAGATAGAGTGAGCACCGTAAATCAAAAATCTTGCTGAAATGCTGGAGCCACACTTGGCAGAAAAACCACCAAGAAGAAGCAAAAATCCAACACCTCAAACCCCTAGCCTGCATAAAGCTTCTCCATGCCATGTTACACTGAGAAACCAGGAGGGCTTCCATGCTGCCACATACCAGCTGCAAATCTGCTTGGGAAATGCAGACTAACAGGTGAACAAATAAGGGGCATGTGGTACTCCCACAGCCACTCCTGGGATAAACCAGCATAGCCCCCTGGACAGACTGACTCCCGCCCCGCAATAAAAAAACTGAATAATAAATAAGGAACTGAAAAGGACACATATCAGAGGGGGTGGGGCGCTCTGAGTGCACCAGAGAAGGAGGAGAAGGGC